ATACTGGGACCAAGTGTTACAAGTTGCCACATAGGAATATCGGTGGTAAACCCTTTACGACACCCCATACCCTCATAAGCAAAACTTAACTAAGAATGAGTCATAATTTGAAGTTCGTTGATCCCCTTTCAGCTCGATTAACCAATTCCTCTAATATGTTTATGATTCTCAATAAACTAGGTATGATGGCCATGGAATGAGGACGCATAAGAGGGTATACTTATCCTATAAAGTAACAACTTGGGCCTTTCATGTTCAAAAAATATAGGTTAGGTTGACAGTATGAAGATGGAAAAATCTCTACTTTAAGAGAAAGAATTACCTTCAAATTTCAATGAAGTTGGATTATTGTCGGTCCATGAGGTGCAAATTACTTCCAATCTACCAAAAAAACAAAACCGTGGTCGATTACAAGTGGAAGGTTGAAAGTTTTGCCCATTAACGTATCTGTAAGGAAGATGAAAGCAGAAGTAAAGATAAAATTAAAAGGAAACATTTGTATATAAAATAGGAGAGATATGATACGTGAAAAAGACAAAATTACCCTTATATCAGGACACACGTTTTAACAAATAACTCAAATTAAACTAAAAGTTAAATATAAGGACGAAACATACTCTTAAAAGTTCTATTTGAACTTTAGTACCTGAGCCTCAATTTTTTGAACAAATACAAAAATCAAATTTACAGTTTTCTTTTAGTAGTAACAAGCTTGATTTGTCTAGTTTAAATCAATAAATCTAAAATATTTGGGATCGTTTCAGCATTATCACATAGTATGAGGGTGGTGTAAGTAACCTATAGTAGAAACTAAAACCCAGTTGCGAACAGCTTTTCCGGAGGTTTTCCAAAATTCAGAAACTTGTCGCTGCTCTTTCCATTTGAATCCCAATGTAATTTTTTTTCTTTTTGTAACGCAAGGCAAACCCTTTCCTGAGTACACCCTGCAACAAAAATAGTTTGCATCAGAATCCACCATTTAAACCCTACTATATTTCTGCATCTTTCTCCCTCTTCAACAATAATGGTTGGCTCTAATTCTAAATCGGACATCTCTTTCGCTGGTACTTTCGCTAGTAGTGCATTTGCTGCTTGCTTCGCCGAGGTAATTCTTTCAGCCCTACTGTTACTATGTGTTCATTCATACCTTTTTCGTTTTCGATCTTTGATCGCTTTCGTGCTGATCTGTTGCTTAAGATCGCCCTTAGAGTTTAATTCTATATAAAGATCGATTGCATGTTTAGTACGCGTAATTGATCAACCGCTAATTAGATTGATCGATTTTCATTCCGATTGTTATTTAGAATTTCTGTTGATATAAGTTAGTTTGTACTTTATACAGATTTGTACGATTCCATTGGACACCGCAAAAGTCAGGCTTCAATTGCAAAAGAAAGGAATTGCAGGAGATGGAATTGGAATGGGTTTACCAAAATATCGCGGAATGCTGGGTACTGTAGGAACCATTGCCAAGGAAGAAGGTCTCGCTTCTCTATGGAAAGGAATTGTACCAGGATTACATCGTCAATGCTTGTATGGAGGTTTAAGAATAGGGCTTTATGAACCAGTGGGTTTTTCAATTTTAATCATTATCTACATTCTCTTACTCTTGGTTGTACAGCATTTGGTCGTGTATTAATGGGACAAAAAACTGCATTTTTTAGTCCTACCCAAAAAGGTGGAACAGATACTCTCTCCTTTGTGCAAAAGACATTAATGCCCTTCTCATCTTCATTCATCGGAAAAGCCTTATAAAGCTTGTCCAATCGCGTCATGTGTAACAAACGTAGCCGAATGGCTACGTTTGTTAAGCATGATGGGACTACATTGGACAAGCTTTTATAAGGGCATTCATGTCTTTTACACAAACGAGAGATCAAAAACGAGTCTCTGTTCCACCTTTTTAGGTGGGACTAAAAAATGCAGTTTTCTTGTCCCATTCACATCAGTCTCAGTGTTGTCCTTTTCTGTTATGAGAAACAAAGGGGGAATTAGAATTGTTGTTGTTGTTGTTGTGTGTGAACCAGATTAAGAACTTGTATGTGGGTGAAAACTTTGTTGGGGACGTTCCTTTGACGACAAAAATACTTGCGGGGCTCACAACGGGTGAGATTATGTGATAACTATAAGTTTTTTTTTTTTTTTTTTTGGAGAAAAGTTATCCTAAATGATGCAATAGCCAGTAGTGATGTTTTATTATCGAGTTAGGAAATTAAAATATGAGCATTTTATTTTGAGGTGTAGGTGGTCTTGCAATTGCTGTAGCAAATCCTACTGATCTAGTGAAGGTCCGTTTACAAGCGGAAGGAAAACTTGCAGCAGGTGTTCCAAGGCGTTACTCTGGGGCATTAAATGCTTATTCAACAATTATCAAACAGGTGGAACTTTCCATCAATTCAATTGTTTGTTGGTAATTTATAATTTATTTCAACCCAATTGTTTGAAAAATGAGTCAAAATTTGGATATTTCAGGAAGGGGTTCGGGCTCTATGGACGGGTATTGGACCCAATGTTGCACGTAATGCTATAATAAATGCTGCTGAATTAGCCAGTTATGATCAAGTCAAACAGGTACTTATTTCCACCTTATTCACCTTTTCGGGTCCCACTTACATTTTCTTAACTATATTTATACTTGATACTACAATGCAGACAATTTTGAAGATCCCTGGATTCACTGACAATGTTCTCACCCATCTTTTATCGGGATTAGGAGCTGGGTTTTTTGCAGTTTGCATTGGGTCCCCTGTGGATGTGGTACTTGATTTAAATTTTAATCACATCATTATTATCACATATTCATTTAATTCCATCATACAATACAAAATAGCTTTCTATTTTTGGTTGTAAGTTCCTTAGAGTGAAAAACTTTGCTTTCTTTAACTTTTTTCAGGTCAAATCAAGAATGATGGGAGATCCAAGTTACACAAGCACCATTGATTGTTTTGTCAAGACTTTAAAGAATGATGTAAGCTCCATTGATTTCTTTTTTCCCCTTCTTCTTGACTTAATGTAAAAAGAACAACTTAATACAGAAAGTCAGGGAAATGTGGGTTTCCTCGTTAAGTCAGACCTACCTTTTTACGAATTTACCCTCAACTAACTTTTCCTTCAATTTCATGTTACCAGGGACCTCTAGCATTCTACAAAGGCTTTATCCCAAATTTTGGACGATTAGGTTCTTGGAATGTCATCATGTTTTTAACTCTGGAACAGGTATATGCACACACACAAACACATCAATTTTATTGTATTATTCAGTTTCACATAATCACTGTCAAGGTATTGGACTTTGCAAATTATTATACTCGATTTTTTTTCCTTGTTTACTTCGAAAAAACTATCCAATTATAGCTGTGAAAAATGAAAATTATTTTTGAGTTGATGACATTGCTATAATTTTGGTACATTTTTTTCAAAGTACAGTGATGGAAAATGCAATAAAAAAGTTGAAAAGTAGGATGATATAATAATAAACAAATAAATGAAAGTAGGTTGCTATTTCTTGCATTTAATCCTAAACTTTAATATTGCTTATTAGGAACTAATTTGGGTTACACTTTCATTTGTTGGACAGGCTAAAAAGTTTGTTAAAAGCATGGAGTCGCCTTGAATATAATGAGGAAAAGCATTTTGTAAGTCATTAAAGGTTTCCTATTTCCGTTTCTAATAAAGGAGAACCCTATAATTTTTTGTATTATGAGATAGAGAAAGACTTTTTTGGAATAATAATTTACAACTATTTATTGGGATAATCTAAAAACTATATAATTTCGGTAGTGGTGTAATTATTGAATTTTTTTGTCATAAATTGATGACATTGTTGTGTCTTCGGTTTTATCAAGAATGTTCATTTTGGTAAAATATTATCCGTCTTCAAATTAGTGACGTTTTTTTTTAGGTGGAAAAAAACGTTATACCTTTTTAGTTAGTTTTAACCATGATTTATTTCGTTGCTTTTTAGTAACTAATTACCAAACAATAACAATAATGGTCAATTAGTGCCAATCAACTATTATTCAAAATTAGTAAATATTGGTGATGTGGCTCACAAGCTTTTAGTAAATTTTGGCATGAAATGAAACATGGTCATATTTTGTCTAAAACAAATTTCTTACATAGGAAAAAAGATAAAATGGGGTTTGCATAAACTAGTATTTTAATCATTACAGATGAATCATAATATTGCTCATTGCTTGATGCAATTTTCTGTAACTGTAATCCTCAAATTAAATACTGTAATATCTTTTGATAAAATAAAGTTAAATCAATCTTGTTAATATCTTATAATTATTGTTAGTAGACAAACATGTAAAGTTGAAAAGGGATCTTCTCATAAACACCTTGAACTTTTTTGACAACCAAACAATTGATTTTTAAATTCATTTGCCTAAGAATATATGTTGTCTGCGAATCTTGTTTAATCGGCGAGATGAGAACGGATCTTTGATTATAATTCTGTCTATGAACATTTGGGGACGTGAGGCAGGAAACATCAATTATTATTTTATCTATTATTTTAAATGAGACATATTTAATTTCTTTACAAAGTGTATTTAATTTAAGTTATTATATAACTTTTATTCCTTAAACAAGTACAATTAGGTGGATTAGTTGGCAGTTTTAGCCATAGACTATGATAACATTTCTAATTCAACAAAAACATTTAACTGTTGATCAAATGTCTAAAACAATAACAAAAACTCCTCAACCAAATATCAATGACAATGACATTACATTATATACATATCTTAAAACACAAATCGAGTCATCTCAAATTGGTAATTTAGCCTTGTCCAATTCATAATCAACAATGGCTTCAACTCACTTCAAAATACTTGAGATTCTTTTATACAAGATACACACAATACACAACAAAAAAAACAAACTTCTATCTCAAACCAGAGTATTTAAATAAGACGAAATCAAGCATGTCATTCTTACATGTATACGAGTAAGTTAAACAGATTGAAATTGAAAAAAAAAAAAAAAAAGAAGCATCAATAGGCCTGCAAAACAGGCCTTTTACCAAGTCTTTTGATCTCCTTATCCATCTGACCAGTGATCATCAAACCAAACATCCTGTAATCACAGAGAAATGACCAAACTGGATGACCAAAAGTTGCAGGGATGTTACCTTCCACATAGAAATGGCTATACCAAGCCATACCATATCCCAACAAAGGAGCAAAGAAGAAGAACCACCAGTTAAATAAAACTGCATATATCAAGCACAAAATACTCGACAGTGTGCCAACAAAATGCCATCTCCTTGTCGCTGGTTTCGAGTGTTGGTTCATGTAGAACGGCCAGAATTCCTCCATGCTCCTAAAATTCATGATCTTTCGGGAACTAGATCAAAAACCCAGATCGATTTCGTGTAAAAACAGGGCGAAAAAACCCTAATTTGAAGAAAGAAGCGAAAACCCCAACAATCTAAATTGGTATGTTAGATTTTTTAGGAAAGCAAATTGGAATTTGGGGAAGTTGACTTTGGAAACATGAACCCAGAAAAAGGGTAGGTTAGATCATAGATGGTGGATTGAAATCGGAAAGCAGTGAAGAGAAGAAGAAGAAGAAGAAGAAGAAGGGCGTAGTGATTATGGAGTTCTGACCTGTAGAGTAACTGTTTGGTGGTGATGGTGGTCGAAGGGGAACCTCAGCTTTTGCACTACCAATTATTGTTGTGCCTTCTCTTTCTTTTCTCGGTCACGCCCATAAATGAAGTGTACAAACATATATCTTAAAAAGATATTATTATTTTTTTAATCAATTTAATAAAATGGATAATGACTCATGAATAACCAATTTTTTCAATTTAGTATATATATATATATATATATATATATATATATATATATATATATATATATATATATATATATATATATATATATATACTAGGTTATAACCCGTGGACACCACGGGTAAGAAATTTAAAAATAATTTCAATTAAATTATAACTTAATTATTTAGCAATGTTTGTATGTAATTGCATAATGATATAATGATTGGTTGAAATTAAGAAATGATAATCGTTTGAATATCAAATCAGCAATTTGTATTTGTAGATATGTTACAAAATAATCATTTTGTATAATGCAAAAATTTAAATAAAACAAAAAACATAAATTGATATAAATAATAAAGTTGTACAAAGTTTTTATAAATTTCTAAAAACTTTTTTATACACGACATTAGATGTTTTATTTGATAGTTTACCATGATTATCTAAAATTAACAATTTTAATCATTCTCTACTTTGAACCCTAGATAAAGCAACATACAGTTGGCCATGTGTAAAAACAGGATCTTTGACAAACAATCCAACCTTCGATAAAGACTGTCCTTGGCTCTTGTTAATTGTCATTGCAAAACATACAGCCAATGAGAATTGTCTTCTTTGGAATTTAAATGGGATCTTGTTTTCAGTAGGATTTAAAGACATTCTTGGAATAAAAGTCCGCTTTCCAATATTACTTCCAGATATGATAACTGTCTCGATAACACGTTTGCCCAAAGTTTTGACCTGTAGTCTAGTGCCATTGCATAAGCCATTTTTCTGATCAATGTTTCTCAATAACATAACTGGAACACCGACTTTTAAAATGAGATTATGGTTTGGCATACCTGAGATTTTAAGACCATTTAAAACATCAGGTGAGTATAAATTTGCATCAACTGATCATAGACAAACTCAGACTGGCAGAGGCTATCTGAACTTAAATATTCTTTTTACTCTCCTGGAATCAATTTTAGCAACCGATCATTTATTTCTTGAACAACTTCATTTTTGGGAGTAAGTATTGCTCTTTCTTGAAAATAACCCGCAATGTTGAAGTTTTCAAGAATGGAAGGATATACAAAATTGATTAATGAACCAATAGGATCACATGGATCATTAATGAGAATATCTTCTGGAATATCAACAATTGCTTCACCATCATTCAGACCACCAAGATTACCTTCTCCTATGTCCAAAAGCCAGTTTGAAAAACCCTTTATTCGATCAACAGCAGATGAATCGCTTCCAACAGTTAACCTCATGTTTTTTGTTAATTTATGGACTTTGCATTGTTGCCATAAATACGAAGAACTTAAAGAAGCGTTAACAATGTTTTGTCTACTGCCACCCGGAACAACAGGTAGAATTTGTCTGAAATCACCTCCAAAAACAACCACTTTTCCTCCGAATGGAATATTTGAGTTTGTAGGATCGACAAATCTTAATATATCCTTCAAAGTTCGATCTAAAGCTTCAAATGCATGCTTGTGTACCATCGGTGCTTCATCCCAATCAATGAGGCTTTTCTTACTAAACTTGCAAGATCACTCTTTGGATTTATTCTACAAAAAGAATCCTCGGTAAGATTTATGGGAATTATAAATCGAGAGTGTGCTGTCCTGCCTCCAGTCAACAATAAAGAAGCGATCCCACTTGAAGCAACGTTTAAAACAATCTCTCCTTGGCATTTAATTGCTGCGGAAATAGTCTTCCAGAGAAATGTCTTACCCGTTCCACCATAACCATAAATGAAGAATACACCTCCCTTATTATTTTTAACCTTAGCCATTATATCAAGAAAAATGTTGCGTTGCTCGTCGGTTAATGAAACAAAGAGTTGATCAAACTCATTCTTCAAATTTGGTATGTCATAATCTAGCTCCTCGGCTATCAAACGATTGTTTGAAGATGAAACCAAATCAGCATCTGGGTAAGGCATCCTTCTATAGTCCTTTAGACTGGAATTGTTTCGGAGTAAAATTTGTTCTATCTCAAACAAAGTCAAGTTTTTAATTTGATCTTCGTTTTGTGATAAACTTGTATGATAAATACTATATTACTTACAACATATTAAAAAAAAGATTAAGTGGGAGGTAAAATGTAATTGAGTGCATATTGGAAATTTATATGATACAGTTTTAATAATAATTTAACAAACATATAATACCTGGAGACTTTAATCTCTTTTGTTGAGAATAAAGAATTCCATCTGACAGGTATTCCCATGTGTTTTCCCACACAATCTCTGGTTTACACAAACTGTTGGATAATAACATCGTAGCAAATAAGAAACGTAGATAAAAACCAGATCCAGAAAGACTTGCTTCCTTAATTGCTTCGATGTATTCTTTGTCATCATCTAAAAGGCCCAGATTATAACATGCATCTTTAAAAGAAGAACAAATTTCACCATTGACCGTGCGAATTTCTTCGAAGGATTTTGGACCTTTCACTTTATTTAAAAGAATTCTTAAAAAATATGCTTCACCAAGCTTAGGTGAAACTGAGTGAATTCTACCAATAGAAAATCCAACTTCCCTTGGCTTCCAAGTTTGAAGTTTAGGTTTCCAAACAAACTTGGTAGGAAATTCAACATATGTAAGTTTTCGTGCTTCTTTATTGATCTCATTACACTTCATCCAAGATATGAACATTGAAGAAGCAACTGAAGGCCGGTCAAGAACATCTTCAATATCATCGTCTGCGTCATATACAACTTGTTGTTGACCAGGCAAATGAAAAGGTAGTCTAATCACAGCAGGATGCCTATAATGAACATCATATTTAAAAATTCTCCATGATGCTTCACATGCAGATATATATCTACAATCATAGTATTCTTTGATTTCATCCACTGCATCGCTGTTATCAGAATCATTATTGCTTTGCACCATAGCAACAGTCGCTCTATCAGGACCCTTGTTTATATATTTAAATAAATATTTTATAGAAGATACTTGATTGCACCATTCAACATTAATGTGTGCCTTATATCTTTTTAACAGATATTTGTTGTATGGAACAACATTTCTGTTATCTAACTGAACACCAGATTTTTCAACAAAATTTCCATCATTTCTTCTCCTATATAAGGGAAAACCATCTGAATCAACTGAAGTATGATTACAGAATTATTTTGGAAAGTTTTTAGAACACTTTCTGTCAACCATGCATGGGCAATTGAAATTTTGAGCTCCACATGGACCGTGAATCATGAACTCCTTGACAAGTGAATACAATTCTGGTTCTTCATCAATATTTGGAATCTCAACAGAAATGATTGGATCGATATATTCAACTGTAGGAAGCTTGCAGTCAGAATGCATAAACAAACATATATGACTATGAGGCAGACCTCTTTTTTGAAATTCAATTGTGTAAACCACTGCATATAAAAATATACAAAAAGGATACAAGTTAACAACTAAAGAAGATATAGAAATATATATATATATATATATATATATATATATATATATATATATATATATATATATATTAAAGTATAATTTAAAATACCTGCTTGAACTATGCCAAAAATTTCATTTTCCCTTAAATCTTTAATAAATGCATCCAACTTAATCTTAAATAACCTACATAATATATCCGGTCTATCTTCAGGATGAAGTGGAGTGTCCTTAAGAAACCTTTGAACTTCTGGCCATTTTGGATTACACGTAAAGGTTATGAAAAAATCTGGATATCCAAACCATTTACATAGCGACATGGCATCCAAATAGTTTTGCATCATATAACGTGCACCACCGGTAAATGAAGAAGGTAAGATCACACGTTGCCCAACGTCCGAAATATCTGTACTGCCACGTGCTTGATGATTACGCAAATTCTCATAAGACTCACATCTAAGAATTTTTTGTTGCTTACGTATGAAAAATAATCGCTCACTTTCAATCATGGTATAACCATCAACTAAAAATTGTTGGAACAACCTTTTTGCATTAAGAAGTAGTGAGAACGATTGATCTCTATCTTGAATTCTGTAAGCGAAAAATTCTCTCATCGTACATGTTGGGCGCTTGCTGTTACTTGAAGATGTAATACCTCTATGAAGGATGTCAACTCTGTAACCATCATCGCCATATGAAAATAGTAATGGATACTGAAGAGCAAGGTAAGAAGGATGTAATTCACTGATACGCTTTAGTAATCCTAATGAGGTTTCAACAATGATGTCTCTTTTTTCAATAGAGTCACGAATGTCACCAACAATTAAAGCGGCTACCTCAGAAGAAGTTGGTAAGTTATACGTCCTTCCATCTTGTTCTCTTTTTCCGATTAGTCTTAACTTCAAATTAGCGCCAGGATTTTCATGAAGACTGTCTCTTACCATTCTATAAGACTTGACCAACGCATTGTTTGAATCTAACATAACCTTCAAAAATTCTATAATCTGGAGATCATATGATCTTGAACTTGATGTAGAAGCAATTGTTGGTCCACTGAAATTATTATAAAAAATTATTTACTGTTAGTAAAAAAAATTAAATGATGTGAAATGATTTATTAAAGTTGATTGTAAAAATATACCTAATACTTGTCGATCTATTTGAAATCTCGTTATCCGTATCATATATGTATAACTGACAGAATTTTGGTCTTGATCCACCTGTAGGTAGAAGACTTCCCATACTATGATAATTTTGACCGCTAAGTCTGAATATGTATGGTGCGTTGCCTGTGTTGATAGATGAATCAACTTTGTCTCCCATTGATGTAAATGAAAACACTGAATTGTAACGTCGAATGTTCTTCATGAGGTATTTGCTTTTAGAATCTACGGAACGGTAAAAATTTTTGTAAGATGAAGGTGCCTCTTTTAAGGGTGGTAGCTCAACTTTGCCGTAACCACAACATAAGGAATAAGATGTATTCCTTTTTTGTTTCCCTCTAACCGATTCATCTTTCCATAGTTTTGCATGACACATATGACATATAAAAGTCTGGTCTCCATGATCCAAGTAATCTGTTGAATACCATAAATAATAAAAATTTCTGAATATAATTAAAAATATTAAATAAAGAATATTAAATTTTGTATAATTATGATCACCTATCGAAGTACCGCGGAAAACATCTTCAATAATTTGGTCATCATTAATTTCTTCATCTAATGTTAAGTCAAACATAGGTATTGTAGATATATGTCTAGCCTTCCTTTTTAATTGATGTTTTCATGTTGGTAACTTGATTGATGAAGATTTTTGAATGATGGTTGAACGACCGGTGGATGTCATGCCAATATCAAACACCGAATTATCATTGTTAATAGATAGCGGTGTTTGATTGTTATTATTGATAATATAATTTCCTGACAAAATAAAGATACAGATTAGAACGTTAGGAATTTTTATAAATTATATAAATGTGAAACATACATTTTAGAATTTGTCTATAAACAAATGCATACCATTTGAAATGTTAGATAATGGAGTTCTAACATTTATATTGGTAGAAGGAGAACAAATACTTGTATGTTGATATACAAATGATTTGACTGACTTTATATTTTCCTTATCTGATGTAACGTTTCTGTAGCAATCCATAGATAGTAAATGACAACGACGATTGTAGACATTTATTATATAATTAGAAAAAAATAGTTAGTAATAAAACAAATAATATTAAATTTTATAAATTTCACATTAATAATATTGAAATTTGATATATCATATATAGTTAAAAAAGAATTGTAAAATGAATGAATAACAATACCGTTATTCGACACGTGAGAAAGATGTGAAATAGATGGTTTTTGATGCTTAGATGTATTAGAAGTTTGTTTGGATTTTTTATTATCCAAATATAACTTTCTAATTTTTCTCCTCTCTTTTGCATTAGTAGAGTCTGTAGTTTTAATTGAACCTGTAAAATAATAGAAAATGAAATAAAGACGTTTTGTTATATAAAGTTCAATATATTATATTTTTTAAAATTTTATTTATTTTAATTATGAAGAACAGATTAAAAATAAATAAATAAAACATATTACATATGAAAAGAAAGTAAGAGAATTACCGTATGCGCTAAAATGAATAGCATGTGCAAAAGGTATACGTTGAGACGATTCTGTGGTACGGTTTTTCTTGAATTTTTTATTATCCAAGTATAACTTTCTTTTTTTTCTTCTTTCTCTAGCGTATGTGGCATCCATGTTCTTGTTTGATATATAATAAAAATAAAATAGTAAACTTAAAAAGGAAATTAATAATTTGAAAATAACTATTAAGAAATTGAATAATAATAAAATAACAAACAAATGATAGTTATAAATTAGAATGTGTAATGAGTTAGCTATATAAAATAACAAACAAACGATGTACAAGAAACCCAGACCTAGAATTCCGATTAAATACATATTTCCATAACCACCGATCGAGTTCTGAAACGGTGTGAAAGTTTCTCAATCTAGATCGATGAAGCAAGATACTAATACAGAATTGATTAGAAAAGTGAAGTGAAGAGAAGCTTACATATAGTAACAGCCGATGTCGTAGTCAGAGACCGAATAAACGCAACTTTGGAGGTTGAAGAGCGCAAGATTGAAGGTAAGAATTGATCAATCGATTGTTAATCATAGTTTTTGTAATAGAATATACATTATGTCGAAGAATTGTTACCTGATTTTATTTCTTCAGAAATGTTGTATCCGAAGATATTAGCGAAAAATGAAGTTGTTCAAAGGAAAACCCTGAAAATCTTTAACAACGGAAACACAATCAGGTAGATATGCATTTGGCTCCAATTTTGAAAATTGAGTAATTGTTTAAAATTTTGAATTTCGAATTTGCTTAAAATTATACCTAATTAAGTGCAAAATTAATCACGGGATCATATTAGTAACTTTAGTTAATATACCTTCAAATTATATGACATTTGTATATCACCACTTTAATCACGGGTATGTTTATATTTAGAAGTTTTGTCTAGTTTTTCAATATTGACTTCTGTTGCAGGCATTCATCAACACTGCTGGAACTATCTACAAGAAGATTCAGGATGAAATCAGAAATGTATCAAATGAGGCAAGTCCAATTTTGTTTTCCGATATAAAGTTATCGTTTTCAAATTTTTTTGTGAGCTAAATTAAGGTGTATATATATTTTTTTAATTGCATATTGGCAGTCTTTTGGAATTAAAGTTGGATGTGGTGGCAATCCGGGGCCTTCAGGAGGAAGAGATGGCTCTGCTTCTCAAGTTGGCGGCTGTTGCAGTTAAAAAATATCAGTAAATCAACTAACTCTTCATTAGATGTTGTAATTCTTCCTTCACACACACAGTGAATGAAATTTTTTGTCCTTCAAAACTTAAACAACTGTGAGAAAAAGAAAGAAAAGTAGGTTGAAATGTTTCTATATTTGTAAGTTGTTTTAGTTTATATTTAAATAAAGATTTTGTTCATGGGATGATGCAGTATAAAAAAAGGTCAAATGTACGTTTGGTTTTTTAGTTCTATATACAAATAGTATTTCTACTTATATCTAAAAGAATTCATCTGATGAGTTGGACATATATTCAGAAGCATGTCAAGGGACGAAAATGGCTTCCATTTCTCATAGGGGTATTTCTGGTACTGTTTTTTTCTATGACCTTCTTTTATTTTTTTTCACTAAATTGTAACTTTCTTGTGTTTTAATATTAATACTTACCACTTTCTTAAACTCATGATTTGGCAGATTCCTCCATTGCTTATGTTTTCTGCTGCAAGTGTTGCATTTGGAGGTATGCCTTTAAATTTTAAATGACTTAGAGTTTTTATTCTATCATAGTATAATTATTATTTTTAGGATTTTATATTTGAAAATATATAAAAAAGTATTTTTAATAAATCACAGGGCTTCAAAATTTCACTAATATTAGTGTTACATCTTTAAATCTTAATGAGAAACATAGTAAGTTTGGTTAAATCTTAATAATGTCCTATGGGTTTATATGCATGATTACAATCTCTTTATGTGCTAACTTGAGTCCTTATGATTTTAATGTATAGCCATTAGCTTAAAAAATTGATAACATGAAAAACAGATTAAATAATATAAATTAAAAAAGGGAAAATTTATAAATCATAAATTCATAGTCATAATATATTATGAATGTAGGAAAAACATACCATCAAAACAACAATCATCCCCAACAAAATATTAAACTTCAAAACCACAATGTCAAAGTACCGAATGAAAAATAAAATGCAAAATCACTGTTTTAAAATCATAATCCACTACCTTATGAAACTTGTACTTAAAATAAAAACTCAACCAATTTTTTCCAACTTTACCTTCACAATCTGGTTAATGCGTCCTTCCGGTGAAATTTTTGGAGTTTTTGTTGCTGATAACTTTTCATTCAACTCCAAATCAAAGACTTCTTCCAAATTTCTCTTCAAAACTGTTGGTGTATTGAAACTCTTCATGGGACTTGTTGCTGAGTTTTTATCAACAGTTTCAGGTGTTATGTTGTCGTCTGTCCTAGAAATTGCATCCTAAAAAAACAGATGTACTTAATTTATTTATAAAGTGAAGTAATATATTTATAACATAATTCGGTGCAAATATAATGTCTATATAACCTTCAAAATCCGATTATCTTGTGATTCAAAATCGGCTTCACCAATATCAAATGACTGTGAAGTACCCACCTGCATAATAAATATATATTATATGAACATTAATCGGCATCTTATATAAAACTGTAAACATTAATACCATAAACCATATGATTTAGTAAACAGGGGAGTTTATGTTTACATAGAAATAGTAAAAATATAATAATAATAATAATAATAATAATAATAATAATAAAATGACCTGTGAAACGGTAAACTTATTTTCCAGTTCTTCAATCAACTTTTCATCATCGCTGACTTTACATATACTATATTGGTTGTTCCTTTTTGAGACGTTGAAGTGTTTGATTGATATTTTAAACGCCAATTTCAAACCTTTAAGTGCATTTATCTCTCCGGGATAGAAAGCAGTACTAAAACCAAGCTAGAAAAAAAAAATAAAAAAAAGTTAGGTTAAAGTAATTAGATTAAGTGAAAGTATTAATTAATTTTAATTAAGGTGCACCACCTGTAATGTTTTATTAAACAGATCCTTGGCCGATTTCTTCAAAAGATACTTTCCATCCATTTCAAACATGGTTAAGGTAACAGTACCAGTACTGTCTTGTACACGCAACGGAATCATAAATCTAAAAAAAAATGATAATACAAAATTATTTATATATATGAAATATAATATAACTTTTACTGATTAAGTAGGAAATTAATAACCTCGGAATAACTGAAGTTTCAGTTTTTGTGCAGTCCTTATTATGACATTCATAACCATTAGTTAATCCATCAGCATTAGGTTGATCGTCTGCACCAGGAGGACGAAATGATTTGTAGTTGCAACTTGTACATGCGAAATAATGCCATGGTTCATTTTGTAAAATTCCCTTTATAGTGCCCACGATAATGAATGTATTTTTCTGCACATTAATTTTATTTTGATAATCCAAATCATATAACAAAAAAAAGTAGGATTATATTTACTATAAAATATATAAAAACACACCTCCAAAGGTTCAGAAACCTCAGAAATTGTCTTCAACTGAAAGTTAACCATGAAATCATCATGTTCGGAAACTTTATTAGACTTCATACGTGTCAATGTATTTGTGGATGAATCAGGGCGATCATCTCCATCCAAACTGTTTTTAAATAAAAATTAAACTAATATTTAGTCACATAAAAGTTAATTGTAGAAATTAGGATGATATAACATCAATTACCATTTCTTAAAAACATTTATTTCATCGATGCCCGTGTTTATGAACAACTTTGACACGGAAAAGTAGGTGTTAACCGTGGGACGATCTACAATAAAGTTTTTATTAAATGTTAGGATAATGATTAAAAAATAATATTTAATAACAAAATAATACAATATACCTCTCCAAATACTAAGTTTTGCAAATTGAAGGATAACAATGATACGAAGATTGTGTGGATTGTTATCAAGAAAGTGTTGCATCTTGTAAGCAAAATCACCCCACAAATTGACACTTAATTGCAAACCACTGCCAAATAAAAGTGCCAAATTAAATGAAATGATTATTATATGTACGTGAAATATCCAAAAATAAAAAAATAAAATAACAAACTTTGTATCTTGGATTTGGATGTTTAGCCTGTGCTTTTTCTTATCATCATTGTCTCGCAACATCTCACCAAATGCAACGACTAATCCAATAACATCTATGAACAACAAAAAAGATAAATTAAATATTATTATGAATTTAAAAATATGATATTCTATTTCTATTCAAACAATAAAATTTACCATAAAAAATAAATAATAAAATGCAACTAACCGATAGCGATGTTTTTAGGATGGACCAATGAGATAATAGATTGGTAATCAACAAACTCAAAATCAAATGTAGGTCCAGAAAAGTCATGACACTCCGTAACAACAGTTTCATGGACAAAACTAAGCTTATGATCTTGCCGAGTTAAAGTAAAACCACCCATCCTTTGAGATGCAAAGCTTGGACAATTTATGTAAAATGTCAAGCCATCTTTTAGAATGTTTTTGAATCGATAGATGTTTTTTCTTGTTACATTTGTTTGGATCTTAGTACCCTAAAAGAAGTAGAAAATATAAAATTATAATTTAATCATATTACATTTTGCATGTGGAATGAAAATATACTGTTAAATTGTAAGATACCTGCTCATCTATTAAGATTAATTCAATGGAGAAAAGTTCGTCCTTGTTATAGAATGAAAAAAGGTTCCATAGGTTTATCACTCTAACTTTGATAGTCGAATCATCTTTAAGTACATCCAAATCTGCAATCAAAGTAACATTTGACTGTGCCATCGGTCTGCAAAGAAAAAACAAAGTCAATAAAAAATTTACAATAAAATTTAAATGCCCTTTTGATTAGAAAAATGTAAAAAACGAAAAAAATAAATGAAGAAATAATGCAAATCATAATTAATAAGACAACATAAAGAATCCAAATTATCAATTAATAAGACAACAGAAAAAAAAAATATTTTTTTACCTTTGAGTATTAAATAAGACAACAGAAAGAATCAAATAAAAAGAAACATACCTAATGGATTGATAAGACAACAAAAAATAATTGTAAAAATAAATATCTATTATAAAATAAAAGTAAACAGTCATTATTCGCATATGATTAGAAAAATGTAAAATACGAAAAAAAATAAATGAAGAAATAATCCAAATCATAATTAATAAGACAACATAAAGAATCCAAATTATCATTTAATAAGACAACAGAATTTTTTTTTTTTTTTTACCTTTGAGAATTAAATTGAAATAATACGAATTTATGTTATATAATTGTTCATACAGAAAGTATGATGCTATAAATGTAAAAATAAATCATATAAAGCATTCAAATCACAGAAAAACTAAAACATAATTGCTGTATAGCGTGCCCTTTTTGGCCTTTGATTAGAAAAATGTAAAATATGAAAAAATAAAGGAAGAATTTCAGAATTTCACACAAACACATGCAGTACCAATAACAAAAAAAATAACATAAAGCATTCAAATCACAGATACAATGAAACATAGTTACTGTTTGTATTATACACGAATATAAAATGAAATAAAATAGACTTTTGATTGCATTTTAATCAAATAAAAAGAAACATACCTGATGGATTGAACACAGAACATGTGTAGTACCAGTAACAAAAACAAAGTGACATTAAGCATTCAGATCACAGTAACACTCAAACATAGTTACTGTTAGTCGTATACACGAATATAAAATGATATACAATGGACATTTGATTGCATTTTTATAAAATAAAAAGCAACATACCTGATTGATTGAACACAGAACAGGTGCAGATTGACAAGAATAAAACGTCAGAAGAAGAGCGCAATTTTGTTTTGGGGTTCAGTTTTTATAACACGATGAAATAAACGGAAATGAGGTATATTTGGTATAAGATTAATAAAAATAAAAATAAATGCAGATTTTAAGGGATATAGTAAATCAAATTTCAAAATACCAAAACTTTCTTTGAAATGATTCAGTCAAATGAAATCTATATGTTTTTGAATTTTTATATTTGAAGAGATAAGTTTTAAAATTAATTTGATTGCATAGTTTTGATGCAGGTAATATCGGATATGAGATAAATGCTATAATTAATCAAAACTAAAATTGCGCTATTTAGGAGATAAGTTTTAAAATTAATTTGATTGCATAGTTTTGATTCAGTCAACGATTTGTGTTAATTTCATTCCTGATTTACCGGAGATAATTTGCTCGATTTTTATGTTTTTAATTTCAGTATTATTTGCTGTAAAACAAATAACCGATTGACCATAAAAATAGGATTGATATCAATGTTTATTTGCAGGATATTCAAAAATTGGGACCTGATTTATAAGAGATGTTGTATTCGTTTATGTGGTGCAAATAATGGGCGGGAAAATGAATCATAAGGGATCCCTGGTAAGGATACATGGCAAGTTGGAGTTGCAAAAGATGACACGTGGAGTGTAAAAGCACTCTTTTATTAAGAATATATATATATATATATATATATATATATATATATATATATATATATATATATATACTAAATTATTTTTTGTGTTGAAACTTGTTGAAAATTGTAAGAAAATACCAATATGACCGTTAATATTGGGTTTTATCTAGATCAAAATACACCAATGCTCTATTTGGATTGAAGTACACCAATGGCTTAGGAAAAGTGGTAGACATCGACTTTTAAATGGTTAACTTCACCGGACGACAAACTCATTGCTTCGGATACTCTCAAGATCATGCACATAAGGGGATTGTAGTTAAGAGGGAAGGAAAAAAAATTGGAAAGTTAATCACTTGTCGTTGAGAGGTGCCCTGATTTATGAGGATCAAGGGGCAATACACTTAATTTGCAAGTAATTTCTTTTAATTGAGTTGCAATTGACATGTAATTTCCACGTAATAATAATTTACATACAATATCGGTAATTTCAACAAGTTTAAAGGTATGTCTAGCACAAAAATAAGTTTAATGACAAAATATATACACAAAAATAAAGTTGGTTACTCTTACAAGTCATTATCCTAACACCATTGCATTAGACTTGACAAATCCCAAATATCATTTAGAAAATTGTTATCAAATAGAAAAATCTAAATCTTCTAGGTTCTAAGGTAATTCATTTATATTTAATCATGATCCAATATAAAATAAATTGTAATTGTTTCAACTCTCATATTGATGCAAACACTTAAAATGATATTGTTGTTCTCTTTACTAAGCTGATTCAGGGGACTCCTGAGATCATGAGATCATCTTGATGTTTTTGCTTCCTCTTTCTAGATCCATAATTTGAAATCATTATCATTTTCTTCCTATGTTCCGTTAATTGTTGCAGATATTCATCTGAATTGGGGTATGAATCACTTGATGATGTTGTCCTATGTGTGCGTCTGTATGTGGAACTGATCATAAACCCAAGAAGAAACAATTCAATTTAGTGATAATTTGAGACATGGATTTCAAATGACAACAATAATAGATTGCACATTAATGTTGAGTTTCTTCTAACAACATCTAAGGTGTTTGGCAAAAAAAAAACTTATTGCTTATTAGCTTATTAGCTTATAAGCTAATAAGTTAGAGTGATATAACTTATGAAAAAGTGGCTTATTAGTGGTTTCCCACCACAATAAGCTATTTTTATCCAAACATTTTTTTAGCTTATAGTGATGTGGAACCACTAATAAGCTATTAAAATCCTTAAATAAGCTTAGCCAAACTGTAACATCCCAATAATCTAAGTAAAATTTTCATTTTAAATTCAATCCAAATACCATCAAATCACATATCAATCACTTAAAAGTATGTAATAATGAATTAGTTATCAGAGTACAATTCCCAAGATCATAAATGTGCGGAATAACATGGGTGGATGCGTTGCGATAAAACTGAGCCCTTCCCTTTTGAACCGAAGTACCTGAAAACATAAACATAACTGTAAGCACGTAGCTTAGTGAGTTCCCTCAAAATACCACATACCATACATATAAACGGGCCCCACCCACAGCATAACGGGCCCCGCCCAAATCGCATACGGGCCCCGCCCACCGCATAACGGGCCTCACCCACAATAATATATATAAACATACATACACATGAAAGAGTCACAAAGACAACAAGCATACACATACATATCAACATGTATCAAAAAGACCACTATCATCCTACAAGCATGATCCAGTGGGCTGACATTGGTGCCTTTGACCCACGAGTATAGTGAAGAGACTCACCTCAAACTGAAGATAGACAAATCGTACTCCCGGACTGCTACTACCACGACTCCTCACACTGAACATTCCAATTAACCCTAGTAAATACTCGGGGGTAATAACCCATAAAAGGTCTAGACTACCATCCAACATGCTAAGGGGTAAAAAACCATTTTACCCTTCCCTTAATGAGCCTCTCAACCCATTGACTAAACCCAAAAGACCTAAGGCCCAAAAAGGCCCAAGAGACCTAAAGCCCAACAATGGACCAAAAAGTCATAAGGCCCAATAGTGGCCCAAACGTCCTAAAACCGAAAAATGGTTACTGGTGAGTACGCCCCACGTACTAACTTTCACCAAAGGATATTGAGGACTTAGTCACGTACGCTCAACGTATGCTTACGTACGCCCGACGTACGTGTCACACCCCCAAACCGGAACGGCGGAAACGTTCAGGGGCGGAGGACGTCATGTACAGTATCACAACAATTGTATAATAGGAATCAAAGCAAACACAACCATTACATTGATAAGGTAAAGTATTTACATCTTTTCAATACATAGTTTGTATTACATCAAAATGTATAGCAAAAGTATTAAAAGACGCGACTCTAAAAGCTCCGTCTTCTCAAAATCTGTGAGTGTACCTGTCTTATCGGTTCCCTGAGAATACAAGTGATTTTAAAAGTGTATCAACATTTAAGTTGGTGAGTTCATAAGTATGTTTTAGTGAAGGAAAACTTGTCTTTGTACTATGAAAATGCTAGTATGTTTCTCCAGAAAATCCAATATTTTCTATAGTGAATGTAATGTAGTCATGTATGTTGATATTGCCATATTTATACATGTTTTTAAGCAATATTTACTTATATTTTTATTAATATTTTGGTTATTTGCATAGAATAATGGTACTTATAAGCTTAAATTGTTCTTTGCAGCCAAATAGAAGCATTTTTGGAGAAAGGGACTAAAAATGACAAAACACGGAACTTTGGAGGCTTGGAGATTAAAAGATGAAGAAGCTTACATAATCTGCTGGCTTCACGTCGTGAGGCGTATAGATTCACGACGTGAACACGAATCTTCCAAAAGATAAAGATCGCGAAGAAAAGTCCTTAGCCAACACGGAAATCTACTATTCACGTTGTGAGGCATATCTATTCACGACGTGAGAACGGAAAAATCAGAAACTATATATACTCTTGCTCATTACGATTTAAAGGACTTTTGGCAGATTGAAAAAGTTCCTGGAGACGATTTTCAGAAGAGGAGAAAGTCTGGAATAGGATTTCAACACCAAAGGAGAAGATTAGTTCATAATTGGATTCTAGTTTTGGTACACTTTAAATATGTTTTGCAATATGATTTTTGTTAACTTGTTTGCTAGGATGTCCAACTAAATCTAGTTTCATTCGTTAGCTAGATGAAGCTGGAACTCATGGATTTAATATTTTAGATTTGATGTACTTGTTGGTTATGCCTTCTGTTGATTGATTTTACCTAGCATGTTTGATTTAGTATTTAATTGCTTTTAATTCTTGTTCTGTGTAGTTAGTGATTATTAATCTGCATGAATTAGAATACTTGGTAATTTAGTGAACATTAAATTATTAGATCTAGGATCACCATTCTTAGTTAAGTATTGAATTAGGCTGTGCTAGAGAACTCATATTATGACCGTAATTGTGCTTTGTTAATCAATCTTACATAGCTCCAATTCATTAAATAATTGATTATGTGTTAAATTAAGTGAGAACATACTTTGATTTACATGAATTAATTAATATTAGTAGATTTAGAACTAAATTGCTAATACTATCTTAATTGGTAACCAACAGTACTTGTCATAGCTAAACTATAAACCATTGAGGGAAAGCAGATTCGAACTAACAGAAGTGTTTTGTTTATTGATTGAATTTGTGTTAAAGAATTAAGTTAATCTAAACTTGCAAAATTAGATAAATCCCATTCCTTTGTTAGTAATTAGGTTAATTTTAATAGTAGATAGGTTAATTAGTCAAAACCGTTCCTTATGATCGACACCCGACTTGCCCAACTATTCTATAATTTGACTAGGTACACTGCCTAGGTGCAATATAGTTAGTTAAGTTAGTTAGGTTATAAATATAAAATTAGGTGTAACCATTTGCATGTATCATATGTTCCTTGTAAATGTATACTGTATTAGTGTACTCAGTACTAGACGACAGTGTATTGCATCTGTATTTGTATGAAACCTTTGTATGTATACCTGGATACTACCAGTTGTAGTAAAAGTAGTGTACTGTAATAGCGTTTGTATGAAAACCTAAGTATGAATGCCTGATTATCACCAGCTGTAGTGTAAAGTAGTGTATCATAGAGTACTGTAGTTTTATTAAATGAAATAAAACTGCTGAAGTAGTGTTAATCCCGTAAACATATGTGTTAGTTATACTGTTGTGAGTTTCATATAACCATGCTTGATATGACCTACTGACCTCTAAGATGTTCTTAAGGCGTCTGAAAGTTATGACATTTGTCACCCCAGGCCTGTCGGCCTAACTGTAGCTAGCAGTTCAGGTGTGGATTGTCATTCCCGTATAGATCTATACACAAATCTCACGCTCTCCCTCCAGGAGACTCTAGTTATACTGTATAGATTTAGTTCCGTACCCTTATGGATACTAGTGAAGTAGTGCCCCACAACCATGTATTAACTAGTTTACGTGTAGTGTCGTAGTGTTGTAGTGTTCTCTTGTATTAGAAACTGTATGTATTGTCATGTATTAATGTACCTTATAGTGCAAAATAATCATACTTAAATAATTATTTTAGTAGTGTATACTTGTATCAATGCATTAGAGTAGTGTTTCCCAAACTATACCTATTATAGTTTCGTTTGTATGTTCTTGTTCCGTGTATTGTATTTAGCGAAGTAGTGTAGTGAATTTCAAATTATACCGATTATAGTCTAACTGTAATGTTCTGTAGTGTAATGAAAACATTTGCAATTTAATTGTATGAAAGCAATATACCCTTATGCTCGACATATTACAAAAGGGTTAAAAATATATGAAATATTTTTATGAAGTGTATCGAATACTCGGTTTGAAACAATTGCAAAGGTTTTAAAACTATTTAAAAATGTTTGAAAAAAACAAAAGTCCTTGTGTTTTACTTGTATCCCCCCCTAAAAATATTAACAACGTTGAAAATGTAGGGGTATGAACTCACATTGAATGTGCGTTTGAGTTTGAATTAACGAGCTGTAGAAATGATCATCGGTAAGCGTACGTGCGAATACGTTATCCTAAAAATAATTATATTTGACGTCGTATTTAAATTAATAATATATTAATTTAAATAATGAGTTAAATAATAAATTAATTATGCAATGGATACTTACAAAATTAATTGGAATTATTTGGAAATGTTGCAAAGTGTTTTTGGTTGGCAAAAATGGGTTTACGGTTGGATAAATGGGTTCATGGTGTGTTCTTGGGGAATTATGAAAACTTGAATATCATATGAAGATTTGAAGGCGGGTTTGAATGTTCTTGATGGAAATATGAAGATTTGAAGGAATCTGGGTGAAATCTCTTGAAGATTGAGAGAAAAAGGGGGTGTTCACGGATGGTAGTTGAGAGGATTTTGGGAGTGGTTCACGGTTGAAAAGGTGGGAAATGAATTGATTTACGGGTGAATATATATATATATATATATATATATATATATATATATATATATATACATATATATATATATATATATATATATATATATATATATATATATATATATATATAGGGAGTGTTTACGGTCATAATGGGCCAAGGCCTTTTGTGTTTACGGTTCTACCATTTGGGTTTTCGCCCTTAATGGGCTTTGGATTGTGTTTACGGTCTAAAAGCAACCGTAAACACCCTTTTTGAAATCAAGCCAAACCATAAACAACTTGATTCTTTGCATTCATGACCGTGAACTCCTTTTGGAGTTAAGTGTTTGACCGTGAACTCCAATTGGAGTTTACTCCTTGACCGTGAACTCCTTTTGGAGTCAATTGATTTAAACCTTAAACTATCCACCTATATTAAGTTATAATATCATAATTCACTTAAGGCTTAAGCTATATTTAGTTAGTAGCTTATAATTAAGCCCTTGGGATAATAGAGGATGTATTTATACATAAGGATCGAAATGAAAATTTTGAATCTTATTGAATCGAGAATGACGGGTTGTTACAGTACGACCCAGATAGCCAAAACAACATTAAGCACTTAATGCATTAAGTCAAAACGTCCATTTTGTAGATCTGGCTCTTGGGGGATGTCTTAAACGATAAAGTCACTAACTTGATACCTTTGCATGGCTTAAAGAGACTCAAACCTTAGATTTAGCATTCTACTTCCATCAAATGATCATTAACTCATGCATGGTTGCTCTACAACCATCACGATGCAAACTTTATGGACTAGGAACCTTAGAAACATCAAAAGGAACATCTCGTAACTTCTGGTGTAACATTTACTTACAAGAACTCATTCATGGGACCAAAATATGCTAAAATCCCAACTCATTCTAGATACAAGCATAGAATAACCAAGGTCAAGACTTTATACCTCTAGAAAGTTGAGGAAGATAAGTAAACCCTGGATCTACAAGCTCTTACTTGATGAATGCTTCTTCACTAAGCTTCTTCTTCTTCAAGATACACCAAAACACACACAAAGATCAACTCTCTCTAGAAATGGGTTAGGGTTTCGAGATAGTGCTTAAAGGGGTAATAGAGGCTGATAATGAGAGAGCCTTGGGACATAAGGTGTTTAAATAGGGTGCAAACCCTAAAACTTAGGGTTTGCCCCTGGCTCACGTACGCCCAGCGTACCAAAGGTACGCCCAACGTATCAGGTGGTTAACCTTGTGTCCAACATCCTTCGAGGTACGCCTATCGTACCTCATGTATGCCCAGCATACGAGGTTTTCATGCAAAATAAATAAACATTTAATAAATAAGAAATTTACCTGAAATACCAGGTGTTAAACAAACACCCCTAGATTGAAAATGTTGAAAACATAACCCAAAAGAGAATCGAGGAAAACAAAGAATTGAAGAATACGATAAGGATAATTCACACCATAGGAAATCATAACCCGCATCACCGTCGCTGGTCTAAGTTAGGGTTTTTGTTTCAGATTTAACTGACGATCTGAGTTCCGGTTTCCGTTTGCACTTGTGTGTGTTAGTTATGGATTTTAAATTTCAGATTCTAAAACCTATATTTTCAGATTGGGAATTGGCTCATGTTGATTCTAGATTTTGAGCATCGATTTAGGGTTTAGGTTGTCTGAGATGTGAATTTTGATCATCAATTTCCATGGGTAGTCCGATCAGGACTTGCGAATAGTGGCAGACATGGTGGTGGTGACATACGAAAGTGACATTGATTCTGATGGAATGGATAGTTTCAGAAATAGAGGAAATGTCGGTGGTGGTCAGCGATGAAAGTGGTTTGTCGCCGATGATGTAGGGCGGTTCAATGCTATGATAAAGATAGAAGATGGGGTGTGGGGGTTAGATTTATTTATTTATTACTTTTTAATTAAAACAAATTTTAAAAAGGTAAATTAAATTAACAAGGTCCTGTAGTTTGTGAGAGAACGGAAAAACTAAAAATGAAGTCTTGACCTAGACGGCTAAGTCGTTTCCACATTACAAAATGGCCCAACCCAAAGTTTACATGGTTTTGATTTTGGGTCTTTCTATTTTATATAAAGAATTAAAAAAACTTGCACGTAAATAAACAAGTCATTTGAAGTTGGAATATTCAACCCTAACCTTACCCATTTAATTTTCATGTCCCGTCGAGTCAACCCATTTAATTAAACATGTTAAAATATCTTAGCCATACCTGTGTATTTCGTGTCATGTCGGGTTAGCATGACGTATCACCTTTTGCCACCTTTACCACATGGACAAAATTAGGGATACTAACGATACCAAATGAGGTCAGAAGTTACCCCAAATTCACATGTTTTCCTCAAATTTCTATATCACACAGTCCCCCGAATCCATGTTAACCTGTTTGGTCCGAAATCCCTAGTTTAACCGTATTTATCTTCTTTTTACTTCTTTATTTCATTTAACCTTAAGTATTACACTAATTTTTCTAATACAATAGATATATTACACAACGGTCATTCTAAGTTTAACATTTATGTTTATAAATACAACAATTAAATATATTGTAATTATTTCGGAGCATGGTCCCCCAAAAACATTATAAAAATATCCCGCCGTATGGAAGTAATGTCTCCTATTTTTTGAGTAAGACAAGCAAGAATTTTGCATAGCCGGGTCCTATGGAGGTTTTTAACATTTGTAGACCAAATAATGATCCAGAATAAAAAAAAAATTAACAATTATTGTAAGAAAATAAAAAAAAATTAACAATTATTGTAAGAAAATAAAAAAAAATTAACCATGATTATAAAAAAAACTTAACATGAACACAAACATTTAAAAAAATAAATCAAATAATGTAATAAATCATTCCTAAGAATGATTCAAAATAAAAAAAAATAACTAAAAGTGTAATTGGCATACAATTGGTATCAAAACCCGGTGTATTAATCAGCTATCTAGAATTTTTTTTTCCTTAATCAAATTATGGGTTATTTCGGTCTTTGGGCCTAACCCAAATTACCTGTCAAATAGCGTGACAGAATAGAGTTACCGAACTCAAACCTCCCTGTATAACTTACAGCACAAATGGTTTCAATCATCATCAAATTCCAATATTTACACACAACAAATATATCGAATTCATGAAAAACAGCAGTTGCCTATCCAATGCCAAAAACACTAAGGAGTTTTTGCACAAAATTATTGCCCCACCGACGATCGTTTTGAAGCAAACCTTTCATTGATTGTGTCGCTTGACTATCTTGTTGTTCGCCTACTTGTTGTTTTTCTTGACATTGGTTCTTGCAAGAATCTTGATTTTCATGTATGGATGATATCTCTGCTCTTGGATTCGAATTAGAGGCATTTTCATCCTCTTTCGAATCTAACTGAGATTGATTGAATTGGTTTATTCAGAAATTTATTTTTATATAGAGATATGACAGTTTAAACAATGGCCGAATTCTTTTATTTATGAGTTCCAAATTTACTTGTTCGGGTAAGGATTTTGAATTAGAATTAGCACCACTAGTGATATGCTCAAGGACACAACTGGAATGATATTATTGATATCAAGAGACATAATCAAAACAAAAATCTTGATTCATTTTCCTAAAAGAGCCGGTTCTTATTGTAAACTCTCCTGAAACTAGCCAAAAAAGAAAAAAGAAACACATTAAGCGTTTACCTCAGGCAATTTGAGGTCCTTTGTAGATGCCATAACAGCTCCATTCACTTCATCTTTTGGAGCTTCATGGACCGAACCTTCTCGATTTGTTTCCATTATCGGTAAGTCACTCAAACCAGGGACTAAAACAGGCACTCCTTGGTCCGATTCCAACACTTCATTCATATTTATCGCGAATCCTTTGGATTCTTTGGGTTTTGGGATGCCAGTAGAATTGATCAAGTCTACTGGCATCCTTTCATTAGCTGCAACCGTCTGAATATCTGCGGTTGCAGCTGATTCTAAGACTTCATTTAACATGGGGCCGGCCTCAAATATTCTCCTCGAATCGGGATCTTCCCAGTCTTCGCAAAGAGTAATAATGTTCACGGTTTCCCAGCATTCAAGCATCCGGTCAGGTCCTGGCTGCCACATGAAATTGCCGTTGCTTTCTTGCATTATGAACTTGAACTTGATGCACTTTCCGATCGGTATTTCCTGATTAAAGAAAACATATAATCGCCATTATTGGACACAGAACAAGACATGACATAACAGAACAGATTGTACTGTATTTGGTCGAAAAAAATTACAATTTTTTATCTCGCAAAATGCATGGAACTTACAAGATCCACAGTCCATAAATGTCCATCTGACCATGTCAATGGAATGGCATTATTTGGATCCCATAAACCGAACATTGGATCTTCGCCAACTATTAGAAAATTCTGGCCAAACGAGCATTCTTTCTGTAACTGGAATCTTACACAAACTGTTGGTGCTTCTGCTTTTGCATCAACCATATGTAAAAAGATTATTAACCATGGTAAGGAACAAAATAAAAAAGGGAATCATTTTAAATGATTTTGGTAAAAGCAAGATTTGCATACATACTTGTGTATCCGTTTGGTGAAGGTTCTATCAGCAGTTCCTGGTTCTCGACCTCTGCCTGCATCTTTCCAACACTTAGAAAAGGACCAAATGAAAAACCAGTCCTTAAATAATAAAACCCGCTAAAGAATCTGTCATTAAAAATGCAAAGAAATACTTTTGAAGGCTAATCACATAAAAGTGAAAGATGGACGTGTTAACAAATTCAAAGATATCACACATCCATTATACATAAAACGATTAACCCAGTCAATCAAGAATCAGAATCTATTATAAGTACAGTTCTAGATAGGGAGGGAGGGAATTTGAGGGACCTGGGTGCGAGAGGATGAGAGAGAAGCAGGACGAACACCTCTGTGTGTTGATGAAGCCGAGATTGAGAGCTTGAAATCGACTTCTTTGTTCTTGAGATGATTACGAGAATGGTGAATGGGGATTCTCAACAGTGATTTGCCTCCCAACAAATCATCCCTGAGAGACAGAAATCCAACGGTTTTCTCGCTGTAAGAAACCAGTTTCAAATATGGGGAAGACGAAGACGAACCCATCACGGCTTCCATGAGCTTCAGTCGTGAGTTGGGTTTGTAGGTGTATGTATTTGTATAGATGGTGAGGCTCGTGAGTGTAGAGATAAAGGGGTGTATGTATTAATGTATAGATGGTGATTGGGGAGAGTGTGTATGTAGGGACGGATCAAGTACCAGGTGGCTGGCTCCTAATCACGAGGAAATGAGTGAGGATTAATTTAAGGAGTTTTTAGAATCTCAAAGCCAAAGAGTTTTTGTAGCTCGACTCCATAGTTATTTTTGGCAAGGTTAAATGCTCCACCATCATGTGCCCCTCGATTTGCAAATCTTTAATTACAAGGGTTCACTTCATAAATAACAATATGCATATTTTATTTTTTTTTATAATTTTCTTATAAAGTATCGCTATTTTTAATACATGGTAACTTATGTTTCACGCCTAACATTTAATATTGTTAGGTTTGCCAAATAAAAAATAGTTTATATACTATCTATTAATTATAAAGAACTTATTCCTAACGTTAATCGATTAAATGTCTATAAAATGAAATGCAATAAATTTATGATACGAAACTATTATTATTATTTAATTTTTGACAATTTAATAAATACATATAAATCTTATGAATCTACAATCGTACAGCTGAACAAACGACCCAAATCATATTAGGATTGTGTTTGGTATAAGATTGTAATAGGATCGGGGATCGTGATTGGAATCCGATCTGTTAGGTAAGAGGATAACAAGTTACAACTCTGTGTCGATAGGACATGAATCTCTATTACTATGAATTTCACATGATCCTATCACTACATCAAAATCTGAATTCAATGGTTACCAAAAGGTTCAAACCATTTTACCTTCTATTTTTTTTTCCACTTTTTTAACCATAAATGACTAAGTTGTGGTAAGGAAAAAACAACAATTTTTTTTCTTCTTTCAGCCACTCAAGAATCATGTCACACCTTCAAAAATTGAAATAATCAAAAAGAAACACAAAAAAAAGAATCAGGAAGCAACTCAAAAATCAAACAAAATATAAAGAAACTCAAAAATCGAACAAAATGTCAAGAAGCAACCATCAATGTTTGAAGTTATGGAACATATTCATTTGTTCAATAGTTCCACATATTCATATCAACATTTGTTATTTTGAAAAGACATTATTCATCATTAGGGGTGCAAACAAGCCGAGCCGAACCCGAGTCTGACCAAGCTCGACTCGGGCTCGAGCTCGAGCTCGACTCGATTTGAGCTTCATTGTACTGAGTTTGACTCGAGTTCATAAAGAATTATGCAAGTTCGGCTCGGGCTCGAGCTCGACTTGTTTTTTTGTCTAACGTGCCTAAATAAGCTTAAGCTCGGTTCGAGCTTGTTAAGAAGTTCGTCACTAATATCCTAAATCCCTAATTCCCCAAATATGTTTTTAATTTAATATATAAAAATAATAATAAATTATATTATATACAAGCTCATTTATGATTGCAACCCTAATCAAGCTTAGTGACATAGGCTCGAGTTCGAGCTCATTTGATAACCGAGCTTAATATTAAGCTCAAACTCGACTAGGGCTCGTTTAAAATCGGTTTCGATTCGAGCTTTTAACAAGCCGATCCCGAGTAGCTTTGGCTCGTTTGCACCCCTATTTATTATAACCAAGGTTTGAACTTTCTATAACGTATTTACTAGGGGTGAAACCAGGTTCAAAGCCGACCCAAAACCAGAAACCAAAAAATCGGACCGGTGTATAGAAATCGGTTCCGGTTAGGTTCTGAGTATAGGATTGGGTAAAATGGGTCAAGAATCTAAAAACCCGGAAATGTCAAAGTAGGTATTGTGGAACTGGGTAAAATGGGTCTAGAACTAAAAAATTGGAAAATTCGGGTAATATTTACTTTGTAAAACTTCTAAAAATTGCTTAACTCATTCGTTTGAAGACATATTGACATGAGATCTTTTCCAACATGTCGTTTATAGTTTGTACTTTAATTTAGGATATAATTTTATCTTTTTTGTTCCATATTTAATGAGCTACAGTCCCCGAAGTCAATTATCAAAGCTAAAAGTTTTTCAGCTTTCCAACTTTTATGTGTAATATATGGATCTTTTAAAATTTACATAACTCATTTCGTTTGAAGTCAGATTGACATGTGATCTTGTCGGACATATAATGTATAGTTTATACTTCAATTTAGGTTGTAATTTCATCATTTTTGGTTTGATATTGAATGAGTTATAGCCCCCCGAACCCGGGGTATCAAAGTTGAAAGCTTTTCAGTTTTTCTGGGTCCAGTTCTCTTTACCTGTTGTAACTGAACCCATAATACCCGGACAAACTATGTCCGATACGCATTTTAGGATTATATTAATACTCGATGCCCGACCTAATTCAACTGTATATCAGTTCAAACCGGTTCCAGATCGGATTTATGGGTTTAAAGCTTATCTCTATTATTAACGGTCAACTCATGGATGAAGATGTATTTATCATTCTTTAACATTATAACTATCTTTTGATAGGATCTTAGGACCAAATATTCAGATCTTACAAAACCGAAACGATCATATATGTGATCAATGATCTTCACAACCTTGTAGTATTGATTATTGTCGAATGATAAAAGATAATTTTATAAGATATTCAAGCAAAACTAGCTAGTTGATTGTAAACTTTGTCTCGAAGAAAATGTAACAATTTGTAACGTCCAAAAAAATACCAAGTAAAATTTTTTGATTTCAAATCACCAAACCATACAACCATTTAATAAAAAAGAACCAATGTATATAAAATTCTCAAAAACATCAGAGTGTATCAATAAGTAATGCAAAATAAATATATGGGGTTGCAGTGCGATCAGGAAGTGTCATTTCCCTTGGAACCAGAAGTACCTGAAACATTTTAAACATGAAACCATAAGCGCAAAGCTTATTGAGTTCCCCAAAATACCACATAACCATACGGGGCCCGCCCAACTCATGTTTCAGGCCCCACCTATCATACATAACGACCCCCGCCCAACTCACATAACATACCTTACCCAACATATAAACAGGCCCCGCCTAATATACATGCAAGAGACACAAATACAAATAGCATCCTACATAGTATAGTGAAAAGACTCACCTCACGAATGCAACCAACAATTACCATGTAACATCCCAGAAATACGGTCCAAAAATTTCGTTTTAAATCATTAATAAAACCATGGTTAACAATTCATCACATAGAAAAAATAAGTCATTGTTTCTCAAAACATCATAAACACCTGTCAAACATATCAGAGTAAAAACATCCCATGTTAAAATCATGGTGTGTGCATTGCAGTCATCCCGAGCTCTTCCCTTTGCTACCGAAAGCACCTGAAACCAAAACTGAAAACTGTAAGCACGAATTTTAGTGAGTCTACCACATACCATACAAATAATCATGCTACTAGGAGATACGGGCCCCGCCCACACTCAGGGAGATACGGGCCTCGCCCACACTCGACTAACTAGGAGATACGGGCCCCACCCACACTTCGCTGTCTAGGAGATACGAGCCCCGCCCACACTCAGATAACTAGGAGATACAAGCCCCGCCCACACTCCACTGTCTAGGAGATACGGGCCCCGCCCACACTCCGCTGACTACGAGATACGACCCCGCCCACACTCGGCTAACTACAAGATACATGCCCCGCCCACACTCGACTAACTATGAGATACGGGCCCCGCCCACACTCAGCTACTAAACGTACATACAAGTATCATACAGACAACAAGTATAGCCAAATCTATCAATCAGTCCTATATACATACTCAAATAATGCTATGAGATACGGGCCCCGCCCATACTCAGCTAATGATGACATACGAGCCTCGCCCACACTCTATGAGATACGTGCCCCGCCCACACTCAACTAATGATGAGATACAGGCCTCGCCCACACTCACATTCCTAACAACACATACATGTATCACACAGACAACAAGTATAACAATCCAAAAATCTGACTGATATCTATACTCAGGTAATAATGAGATACGAGCCCCGCCCACACTCTGTGTTCCTATCAAGAAAATACAAACTACACGGGCCGACATTGGTGCCTTTGACCCGTTCAAACCAGGAGGAAACTCACATCGCACTGCTGAAGTCCCGCATATAATTCTCTGGCTGCTGGCTGACATGTCCCCGAACTGTCAATCGTCAAAACAAAACCCAATTAACCATTTGGGTTTCAATGCATCACCATAAATACACACTTGGGGTAAAAGGACCATTTTACCCCTAACATAGCTTGGTCCAATTCTAAGGCCCAACTCATACTCTGAAGGCCTAAAAGTCAATTACTCAACCAAGGCCCAACATATGGCTTAATTTTCCAAATTGGGCCCAAACTTCTACATGGTCTTACCTTATGGCCCAACCATTTATTTTAGTCCAAACACTTGGCATTCCGATGGTCCAATATCCCATAATCATCAAGGCCCAATTATGGCCCAATTTTCCAAATTAGGCCCAAGCCTTTCCAATAGGCCTTATCCTAAAGCCCAATCCATATATTATAGTCCATATACTTGTTCTTGGATGGCCCATCAATAGCCCAACAGAAAAGCCCAACTCAAGGCCCAACCAAAATTAGGGTTTCTCACATGAAATGACAATTAGGGTTAAGTGTTCTTACTTAACCCATTAAGACTTAACCCAATAAGGACTTAATCCATTAAGTCCATCACTCCACTAGGCCATTCATACAATGTAGTCGGGCATAATTCAAAATTCCAATCTAACAGTCCAAATGCGGGTCCCGACAAATCCCAAACTAACATTTCCAAAATTAGGGTTTTCTAAACCCAAATTAGGGTTTCCAACCCAATCACAAGCCAACTAAGTCCAAGATTAAGCTATTGGGCCGATTAGGGTTTCACTATGTCAAGCACCGCCCACTGCCACCTCGGGTGGTGGTGGTCGACGGCGGCTCACGGCGGCAGCCACCACCTCACGGTGGTGGTGGTTATGATTCTAGGCCAAAAAAAGACAAAAGTACTCCAAGCACCAATCCACACATACACATAAACACACAGCCACCGGAGATGGTGGCTAGTGGCGGCAAAACGGTGGCAG